TTTTCATTTTAAATAGCCATTGTTGAAACATTATCTCTCCCATATGTCTCCTAACACCCTGTCATCATGTCTTTACTCTTCTCTTCAGCATGCTAAACGTAGTAAAGCCTGGTCTGACATGTTCCATGCTGTCTCACAAATCAATATTATAACATTATAATGCATCTGTCTCTTTAGCTGCTAAATGATGTGCTGTGTTGACCAGCAGATCATATGAGTTTGTAAAGAATTGTTTTTTTTTGTTTTTTTTGGCTTAAAAAACTGAGTGATCATTTGGTGAGACTGAACCACAACAGTGAAGTCACAGGCTATAAAAGCAAAACCATGTGCTGAAAGATGCTAAAACACCCTCACTAGCTGTGGGGAACTGCATAGTTAGTTGACAATTTTCCAACCAGCTGGAAACATAATATCATTCTATAGCATCTTGCTTCAAGTCTTCACTGAAGCCATGTACATGATATTTACACTTTATGGGTTAAATCTACTTTTTATATGCATTTTTAATATGCACATTTAAAAAGGGGTTTAAAAAATCCCTGAATGGAGATAATGAAATAAAAAAAATAATATTGTAAAATCATTTTTATGCTTTGCTAATATGGAAATGTTGTGGTGATAAAAGTAAAATGTGACTAAGTGCAAAGGAAACAGACTACATTGTCCACTGGAGAGATGAAAAGTAACAGCAGATAAAAACAGTAAATCTGTGTGAAGCAATGAGTAGGCTGTGATATTTCACATATTAACATAAAATAAACAATCATGTTATCCACGTGGCTTCTCACCATTTGAAATTTGATTGGCAATATTAATTACATCATTTTGTTTCACCTTCTTCTTCTTTAATAGTTTAATTGCACCTGACTAGAGAATGTCTTGACAAACCAATACCTAATATCAGCATAAGGTTGGTGAAGAGAAACACACACCACTTCAGAATTTCCTTGAAAATCCTTTATTTTAATAATGTGCTAAATTTGAATAGACACCTGGATGCTAGCCATCTAGCCATCTATTATAGATTCCATCTAATGAGAATATTGTAGATAATCTGACATTTGTTATCTTTGGAAACTTCAGGTTCTCCACTAAGTCTTTAAATAAACCTCTATGGGTTCAGACAACGTTTCACTGCAGGCTGTGATGACTCACCCACCAGTGGCAATGTGAGGAAGCAAGAACTAAATCAATAAAAACAGTAAATCAGTCAGAGGACGCTGACAAATTGCAGGTGACAGAAGAGTGGTAAATCAAGGTTGTGTTAAATTCCGTCTAGCTTGCCTACACTGCTGTGGGTGAAGACTAATGTGGCACCATGTTTGGTCACACAAACGTGGCCATTTTGAATGTAGAAACATTGAATTGATTGTAGTTTGGAGCAGACAGCTGCCCTTGGTTACACATGAAAACACCTTCAAACATCTAGTTCTCACATGACGCAGCATACAGATGGAGAATTACATACATGCACATTGCTATAAACATTGCACACTGTTACAGTTTGTCTTTGAGCATGACCGGACATTATTACATTATGCTCTCACTATCTCTCCGTCCATCATGTACACAAGCAGCCCTCCATGCACACAGACCTCTTTATACAACCGTGGACCATACGAAGCAGCTCTACAGCCAGGTGTGGGCCACAGCAGGTGGTAACGCTGCAAATCAGTGAGCCAGCTGCATGACATCATACCTCCTACAGTGCATCCCCTGCTTTCTGATTCTCCCGTCCTTCATATCCCAGCGGGTGACCTCAATCTGCTTCATTTGTTTTTGTAAGTTTTTCCCCAAGGAGTCGCCAGAATATAAAAATGACTCTTTTTTTTCCTCCCGTCTACCCTACTAAATCTGTTCCAGTGTGGCCTTAGATATTTACTTTGTAGATGGGGGGGGTGGGATAGCTAATCCATCTTTTTGACTTGTTAAACTGTCAGTCAAGCAACACTGAAGATCAAATGCTTTTGTTCACTTCACAAATCACAAGTTTAAGGCTTTAATCATCAAGTGTCTTCTTCAGGAGGAAAATCAGCTTTCATAAGAAGAAAGGAAAGAGTTTTGCTGCCTAATCTTGCAACACAGTGCTCCTCCCTGGGTTGGGTCTTGCATCTCTTCATCAAAGTATTTATGAGGTGTCCCATGGTACTAACAGAGGCAAGTGGCCCATATGTTTACCTTGGCTTTCAGAGGCACTGTCACACAAGAGCATGCTCACTCGTTTATCATCGTGTTGACACTAAAGGGGATTATACAAAGACAGAAATGAGCAAGGTTTATCAGCGTCAGACCCACAGGAAAACACACACACCACAGCGCACATACAGACACACAGACCCTAAACCTCCATAAAAGAGGGGCATTGAGTACTGCAGAAAACACACATACACAGATCTGGCAACTTGAGCTTGTTCTTACAATCTTTCTCTTGCCTTCACTCTCTTTGAATTCACCACAGTGATATCTGTGGGAATAAGCTTCCTGAGTGTTGTCTTCCAGGTGGTGTAAAGTAAACAAAATGCGTTTTACTTCAAAGACAAATTTTTCTAATTTTCTAATCCATAATCCTGCTCTTGATATTGACGTTTGCGAGGCTGGGTATTGTTCCTATTAAAACAGAACTGTAATCGTGCTCTGATGCTCTCCGTGACTCTCTTAGTGTTGTTCTACATTGCACAGGGAGCAGCCTGGTCTATTTTAGTGGAGGCCCCAGAGTTGTTCCATAATTACTGAGCATAATTATTAATGACTCACACATACATACACACTCATTTGTGGTATGCTTTACACTGGACTGAAGATATCATCCTAGCTCTCTGTCTGTTGCGTTTCTCACCCTGACCCACACTCCAACTTTAAACCTAGTTCTAAAGTAGTCTCTCTGTCTGTAGAGGATTTGCTTCATCTTTCTACTCCTGTGAGGATATTTGGTCATCTTAACAGCAAAAATACAAGAACGCACACATCCAAACACACACTCACAGCCACAGCCGGTTCCCCCTTTGTGATAACTCCTACAAAACGCCTGTCATCTTTACTCAGTCATACACAAGCAGGGAGTCAGCGCAAACCGATGGATCAATTTAGTACAGAAAAGCTGTGGCATTTTTCAAATGTAATGGGCTTTGATGTAGACGCTGAGCTGCATTACAGAGCCCCGCTGAAGCTAGTGAAACCTCTTTTCATCTGCCTGCTTCCTATGCAGAGAATGTTAGCAGGAAACATGCCTCACTTCTGCTATGCTGTTTTACTCATCTTGTTCATAGACCAGGGCAGTCTGTGCCCACCTACACTCACGCATCCTCCTTTACTTTCAGAACTGTATCACTAATTTGTTTTGTTCTTTTTTAGTTTATGGAAAACTAATTCCATCAAGCTTACTTCATCTGATTGGTTGTCTCTGCCAGCCAAATGTACCCATTATCTGTGACTCTGATGTGAGCCTGTGTATAAAGGAAGAGCCATTATCTTCTGAAATGTATCAAGTGTGATTCCATTTGTATAACACTCTTTTATCCCTCCACAGCTACAGACTGCCCCCTTGAGGAACATTTTGTTCATAACATGAGTTTCTAGTGTGTTCTTTCATATCAAGGCACTGCTCCTCAACAACTATACACCAGAAAGATGCTATTTCAGACATGTAGCTCATGAAATACCATAACAAATATCATATCATAGAGGTCACTCTGTAGTCATAACCTATGTCATTTCTGTGAGACGATGCAGTTAAAATCTTGGCAATAAGTATCGAATACCATTCACTGTAAATACCCATTCAAATTTTCATTTCTATTCATGAAAGCAAACCCGAGGCTTCTGTGATTCTACTGCAGCTGCAGCACTTCACAGTTCTCAGTAATTATAACTGTTTCCATGGCAAAGTGTCTATCTATCAGTATGTGAGGTATGTTTCACTCTCATCACCCCTTTTCTCTACCAATTTCTGTCACGCTGAGAATTTCAATACATCCGTCCACTTCGATTTGGTTTGTAAAGTGACTTTAATGACCAAAAATTTGTGGCCTAACAGTCAAATCACTCAGACACTAAACAGGCACATTAAATGAAGATAATGCAGAATTTGCTTTGGAAAAAAAAAGAAAAAAGAATTTAGGACAATAAAAATCATCCACTGGTCAAACAAACAATAATCATGTCATTTTTGGTTTGGAGGTGGAGGAATTAGTACAAGATGCATCAGATAAGCTTCGATTTGAATTTAAATGGATTAAAATGGAGGTTAACAATGGATTAACATGAAGTGCAGAAAGCCCACAAACCACCGACCATCAGACCACATCGACCAACATTTCCTGCAAAGCTGCAGCACATAGCAGGAACACGTCACCATGGTGCTTTTCACAGCCTTTCCCAAGTACATAAGTGTGGGACTCGTTCTCACAGAGAATCCCTGCCAAGAACGGGTCACTTATCATGCTCCACATTAGAGACGGTGTGGATTTAGTGCAAATTGTTTAACTGTGTTAGAGGAAATTTTCTGAAAGCTAATTATACTGTAACTATGGCTAATGGATGCCTGCCAGTTTGTAAAAGAGGCAAGAGCTGAAAAATCAGGCTTGTGCCTGACTGCATTACAGTAGCAGCACCAAGTTTGAACCTAATCAAATTAAACATTAAGTTGACAAATAGCTGCATCAAAATGAGGGTGACAGAAAGTATTTTTCAAATACATATAGCATGTAATTTAAATCACACAACAATGAAGAAATGAAGTTGTGCTTCAAACAGAGTAAACCAGTATGAGACCAACTACTGTGACAGCACCATTTTATTTGGCGAGAAGGCAAAATTTTAAAGGAATAAAACAGACACTGCATGATTTGCAAATGAGAGAATGTGTGAGACACTGTGGCTGAGCATCAGAAAACAGAGTGCACAAAATGATTTCACTGTGCAAAAAAATACCGTGTTCTCAGACAAGATGTGGGATAGGCGAATGAAAATCTAACTTGTCAGTCATGTATTGCTTTTACCATGTTCTCTGACAAGATGTGGGATAGGCGAATGAATATCTAACTTGTCAGTCATGTATTGCTTTCATGTGTTTACAACAAAGGTTTATGAGACTGGTCATTCAAAGGAAATTTGTAAGAATCTCTGTCCCTTTTTGAGTTGAGTTACCGTAGCTTTTATCATGACTGGTAGGAGGAAGGTGACCTTTCCGACAGATGCCATTTTTCAGTGAGATCGTACAGCTTTGGAGGCATGTTGTGGTAACTGGCATGTTAAAGTGACCCTGCAGTTATTCCCAAAAACTTATTGACATTTGATCAAACACATGTGAAGAAATGATAAAAAGTATCCTGCCCTCAAATACGGTGTTAGTTCACAGGTCTGAGATCAGATCAGAGCAGAGATTAGTGTGCTAATCAGATCCAACAAATTAAAGGAAAAACCTGAATAAATCAGTGGTCTCTTCCAGGATGACAGTGTCCCCATCCACAGGGCATGAGGGGTCACTGAATGGTTTGATGAGTACAATATGAAAATGATGTGGAACAGATGCTATGGCCTCTGCAGTCTGAACCCAGTTGAACACCTATGGGATATTTTGGATCGTCGTGTCAGACAGCGTCTCCACCACGATCATCAAACCACCTAGTGAGGGAACATCTTTTAGAAGAATGGTGTTCATCCCCCCAGTACATTTCAGAGACTTGGTGAGTCAATGCCAAGGTGCACTGAAGCTGTTCAGGTGGCACGTGGTGGCCCAACTCCTTACTGTGACACTCTGTGTTGGTTTTTCCTTTACCTGTCTGTATGACTCTATCCATTAGTTCAACTTTTGGTGGGACAGGTTTGTGCATATAAAATCTCAAGATGACCCCTTTAAACATGACACTAAGGATTGCTGTATCTATAATTGTTTGCTAGACTAATTCTGACAGTTTACAGTGATATTTTGGTTGTGATAAGATGGTAGTTCCTTGCCCACTATACACACAGGCCTAACTGCAGAGTCCATGACAAACATAAACACAGTGAGCATTTAGCTAACTATTCCTATAAACCACAAAACAAAAATATCTATGATTAAAGTAAAAAAGCACTTTTGCTTCACCCAGATAAGCCCATGTTTGCTAGTAAATCATACCTAACATGGCAGCTTCAACATTCTACTGAATGTGCGCTATATCACCAAAAACTAATATCAAAAAACATAGTCCATCCTCTATGCTGTGTAGAAAGCCCTCAGATTCACAGGTCTCCGGGGGAGCTGGCCCAGGCACTCAAAGGCACCATCGCTGGTGGTAGAGGGGTCAGACAGACAGGGAGACACAGTAGGGGCCAGAGGTGGGTGTTTGAGCCTACACAGAGTCAGACACTAGCAAAAATATTTTAGGGTTGTCCCTGTGAAAGAGATTTTTAAATGCTCTGTCTTGCACCTTGACACAATGGACATGACAGTAACTCTTATTAGTGCTAACACCAAGCCATAGATAATTTTAAAAAAATCTGATAATTAAGATGGATCCTGACAAAAGTGACTCCTTATTTATAGCTGACACATATAAATAGTACTGCATCCATACGTGACTGTCGGTATACATAATCACACAGGTTTATACAAACCTGGTACACCTCCACATTCACTGGCCCCACTTCCACTTCCTTAATTTCACAGAAGACGTTTTCCACCAGGTGATTGCAAACCGCATCCAGAGCCAAAAGCTTTCATCCATTAAAAAAAGGGTTCTGTACCGGAAACAAATTCCTTGTGTGTAACATACTTGGCCAATAAAGGTGATTATCCTTATAAAAAAAACCCAACTGATCCTATGAATTATTATTGCAGTCTTTACAAATATGGATCTTTTATGTTTTTCAATAGTATTAAATGAGCCACAGTCAATGCCAGCCAAGGCCAATGGATTTAACTAAATACAGGCATTGCAAAGAGCACAGTGCCCTTCAGTAGGGGTGCAGCGCTCAGAGTATCCAAAATGACTTCCTGCAACACCTGAAATTTAATTCTCTGATGTGCATGTATTCCTAAACTTAGCTATGTTATTGCAAAAACTCTGATTAGAACAGGCAAGACATGATAATATACGAAGTATGCTCCAGTAGCTGTTGCATGTTCTTCATGTTTGTAATAACTGAAAGATAGTGACACCCAGTGTTGACTTTTAGCAATATTATATAGAAAATTCACTGATATAGTCATTCTACAAATAATAATTTTTGGCTCCCGATGACCATAAATAAGAAGCATCTTTGGTTGCTGTTCTTACTGATACAGCAAGTACAAAGTGTATTCAGAAACCTTGAATTCCCAGCAAAGAAAACGGTGTTAGAAGGCTAACACACGCAAACTAAAGGCTAAACATCAAAAACCTGCACTGTTTTATAATGAAATCACTATCTTTCTGTTATCAACCAGATGAGTTGACCTTCAGCTGTGACCGCAAGACAGTTCATGTCCTAAACTCTGTGGTGTAATTGCATCCATTGGTTTCATTCCATCTTTCTGTGTGCGCAATACCACTGTACTGTGACGTCTATCTCTGAGAAAAGTACTCAAGGATGAGGCGGAGGTGTCCTAAGCGGTCTTTGAGTGAGGTCAGGGACAGGACAGTGGTTTGATAGGCAGGGTCCAGCTGGAGGACAGACAGCAGCCACCAGCACCAGGCTGGACCGTTGGATGAGGCCTGGAGGAGAGTTAAAAAGGATTACAATAGAAATACACTGTAATGGTTTAAATTTAAATTGGGTTTTCTTAGCATCCAACCTGACAGAATACAATGTGACATAAAAAAAACAGGTCCATAAAGGCTCCTTGGTTTCTGGACACAGTTGGGAAATTGGTTCTTATTAAAGTTAAGGATTAGAGCTACAGTCCGTTACTTTTAAGCCCCAACCTGAATGTTCTCGTCTTTATCTGGCATGGTGCCATACTGTCTGTCGATCTGCTCGCGGATGCGGCTGCCAAGGCGCTGGTACCAGTCCTGGGCCTGCTGGTACACACTGTCATGGAGATGCTGCAAAAGCTCTAACTCACTACCATCAACCTGGGAGAGAGAGGACACAGATATGAGAGAGGGAAGAAATAGATGTTCAGCAATCAAGTTGTCCAGTAGAAAGGTTCTCAATGTTGGTTCTTTAAGTTTTGGTATAGTTTGTGATCTCTGAGACCCTGACCTTGAGGTCCTTCAGGTACTCTATATCAGCAGTCTGGTAGCCATCTCTCTGACCTCTCTTTAGCACCTTGAATCTGCTACCACCCACAGTGTTCACATAGGACCGTCCATCAGGAAGCACCTCCAGGCCAAGGATCTCCAGCATACAGCCATAGTCTGCAAACCTGCAGCACATAAGGACAAAGCATTTGAGCTTTACATTTGTACACCTCAAGCCAACATTTAATATAATTTTTGCTATGTTAGTCAAATGAATTGGGGAAAATGTACAGTAAATTCATTGTGGTGCAAAAAAATTCATTCACTTTTTGTATTTTGTGCCTTTTGTCTAGTTTGAAAGAATAAAGTACATACATTTGTACTGAATTACATGCATAATTATTAAATAAGAATAAAACGTATTTTAAAGCCTAGAAAATACCCTTTTAAAACTCTGTCTACCCCTGACTGATGCAGGATACGAGTAGGATATCGCTGCTTGGAAATGACTGAGGACATCATTCACTAACTTTCAATCATTTAAAGAACTTTTATCTAAACTTTTCACATTAAATAACTGATGCAGACATAAACTTGGCAAAGTGTTTTCTCACTGCAGTTTATATTATAGCGTACAAAGGAACCAATCTCGTAAAATTTAATGAAACATTTTTTTTAAGTGGGGTACACTGTGTGTAGTGCTATAAATAAGGAAGACTTAGACAAAGGGTGGCCGACCTGGTGTCTTTCTGTGCAGAGTCTGCATGTTCTCCCTGTGCCTGCGTGGGTTTTCTCTGGGTACTCCGGCTTCCTCCCACAGTCCAAAGACTTGCAGCTTAGGTTGACTGGTGAGTCTAAATTGCCCGTAGGAGTGAGTGTATGTGTGTGTGGTTGTTTGTCTACATATTTTGATAGACAGTATAGTAGGAACTAATATTTGTTGGAGGATGAAGAGACAGCGGGTCTCACAACAGCCTCCACTTTGTGAAACACCTTTTTGAGGGTTAAGATTTAGTTTTAGGGTTCAGGTTAGAATTAGGCTTAGGTTAGGTGTTACGTTTGGGAATTTAGTTCTGATGGTTAAGTATTAGGGTAAGGGGCTACGGAATGCACAATGTCAGTGAGTGTTCTTATAAAGATAGAGGTACAAGTGTGTGTGTGTGTGTGTGTGTGTGTGTGTGTGTGTGTATGTGCACGCATTGTGCTTCAATGGCAAACATGATCTCTCCATGTTCAGAAAGTCTGGTCAAAATAATTGTAAACGCCTGTGGAAAAAGCCCAGGGCTTGTATGCTGTACGTTGTGTACATTCTGTGCATTGCATACCCTTTGCCATGCTCATAGCTGCACATGCCAAACTTCTTGGTACCAGTCTCCATGCAGCGACGCATCATCAGCCGATATCGAGGCTCAAAGATGTGCAGTGGACAGGGCACTCCAGGGTAGGCCACAGTGCAAACAAAAATAGGAATGTCCTTTGTGAGACTATGAAAGAAGAGGTGGAAAAGTAATCAGAGAGACAATTTAGAGAGTCTCTACAGTAACTCCTGAGTGTATAGTGCATGATGATTTACTGAAAGGTGCCTACTTAGACAGTTCAGCCATCTCAGCATCATGGACATGTTTCCTCTCAGCCAACTGTGAGGGAAAAAGGTGGGTCATGATATCCTGAAGCAGAACTGTGGGGCTGTACCTCCTGTTTTTAAAATACTGGCAAGAGAAATATGAGAGCAGGTTAACAGATATCATTCACAAAAATCTGAAAAAAATGTAAACACTCCAAGTTTAATAAAACAGACCAACCCTGTATATTCTGCAATGCATTAGTCAATATAAAATATAGATTTACCAACTTAGTATTATATTTGAATGTGATCTCAGCTTTGCATGGATGCATGCATATAAATGCATACACACAGTTTATGCAGAAATGTTATTTATCACAGGAGTGACCTTTTATCACAAGCAAAACACACAAGTAAAAACTGAGAAGTGATGCATCTCACTTCGCCTGAGCTAAATTGGGTATGTGAGGATCACCCTGCGGTGGCAATAACAAAGCTTTAATCATCTTTTAAAGTGGAGAAGTTCATAAGCTAAAAAGAGGATCCAGCAGCCTTTTTTCCCTATTCAGTTTAAAATGGATGGATGAAAGTATCTGTAGGTGGTTACCTCTTGTAGTGGCTGTTTGCAGAGGGGACAGCGAAGGTTGTGATCCAGGCTCCTCTCTATACAGTTTTTACAGAAGGTGTGACCACAGGGAGTTGTGATTGGCTCAAAAAACAACCTTCAGACAACAGAGAAAAAAAAACAAAGGCAGAGAAATCTAAATAAATGCTATTTGTACTGTAACTGTTAAGCGAGAATGTTTGCTTACATTCTGTATGTGTGCTAAATATTAACCAGAGAGAGAAGGCAAGTGAAAACAGACTCAGCCTAATATATGACTTTACACCAGACAAGGTACAGACGGTGAGGAATTATTGATTCGAGAACTCCAGGACACCGACCTAATGCACAGAGGGCACTCAAAGTCTGACACGGTGAGAACACCCAGAGCTCTCTCTCT